GGTTTTCATTAAGAAATTGCATCCAAACTTCGCTGTATTTAATCAGCGTATTTGATGATAATGTGTTTCAACCCTTTCAAAAAAATTTTTTTAAACATAATACAACAAAAAACATTGGATAACTTCTTTAAAAACAAAATAGAGAATCATCCCCTTTCAACAAATTTTTAAAACATAATACAACAAAAAACATTGGATAACTTCTTTAAAAACAAAATGGAGAATCATCTGGAAAAGCTGTGAATCATCCGGACATCACTGGCCAAAAGTGGCACTGCCTGATGTCATAATGGAAGACGACTCCCACTTAGTTGGCATTAAGTAGTATATTTAAGGGAACCGCCGTAATGTAGCAGCTAGCCGGGTCCTAACTGAGCTGGACTTTATTCTACATTGACCTTAGCTCCAAGGTCGATCCCGCCTTAAACGGGTACCAGGTAAGTCCTGAGAAGTATAGGCGGCTGGTGGGATGTTGACCACATCACCTATCGAGTGCTGATTGATCTAAAAAATATAGGTCTAGCCCTTATTTGCCCAATACGCCGGAAGGCGTGGAAAAAGATCATTGATTTTAGTTTATTTAATAATCAGGACGAGTAAATCTCTGCCATAATGATAAAGCAACAATAATGATAGTGGTTAACATGTAATTAAAATGCATTAGCAATGACTGCTGAGTTTGATTTCCCAGTGACAATTTTTCGTTCAAAAATAGAAAGGGGTGGGGAATCAAACTATTTTTAGTTAATTCCTATGGGAAAAATGCATCTTTTTTTTTTTATGTTCATCCATTTCTCATAAATGGATTAATGACAAATATTGGAGTCCCACAGTATAGTGCTTGTCCTATATTTGATAGACCAATCAGCATTTTGTGGGTGATGTAATTGCATGTACTGAAAATAACTTCTTATACCGATGTTCTTTCATGTCATAAAGTCAAATTGTCCAACATTATCTTTGGTATCCCCTGGCTCTTTTCCTCTGAAATTCTCCTGCTGCCATAAGGTGCTATAGTTTTCTATTCTCATGATGTGTACCAACAAATGTATTGCCTGCTTCTTATGCAGTTACTAACAACAGGATTTCAAAAACATGATGTGGCAGATATGATTCATTTACATTTTCCAATCTATGTGTCCATAGTTTTGGTTGTGATTTCAAATTTTTTTTATTATTGTTTGACAAATGTTGATGTGTTGCAACATATTTTTTATCTATCTTCCCAGTGCCACTGTCAGTGGTTTGTCATAGCTAACTATTTCACTAGCATACAATGGTAAAATGGGAGCTGTAGTAGCAGCGTATGTTCCAATTACTTATGTTCTGGTAACTAATATACCTGTTACTCATGTTCGGGTTATTTATGTTCCAGTAAAATGGGTACCGGGATGGGCTGTCCTGGGAAAGTAAAGACAGCCGACGTAATGCTGATCACATTACCCACCGAGTGCTGATGGTCTGTAAAAATATGGGACGCTCTGCCCATATGCCCATTACTTTTACTTTACTTATGTTCCACTTACTTATGTTCCGGCTACTTATGTTTCAGTTACTTATCTTCTGGTTACTTACGTTCTGGTAACTTATGTTCTGGTTGCTTATGTTCCGGTGACTTATGTTCCTATTACTTACGTTCTGGTTACTTATGTACCTGTTACTTATGTTCCGGTTGCTTATGCTCCCATTACTTATGTTCCAGTTACCTATGTTGGAGTTACTTACGTTCCAGTTACTTATGTTCTAGAAGCACACGGCCCAGTGATAGTTAAGTAAAGCAATGTAAAAATCCTCTTCATGCCTTTGACACATCCAGCAAACAGTGCCAGACCCAAATTTGTATAGACAATTCGACACTCAATACGTGATGTGGTTAACATCACACAGGCTCTCTTTACTTTTCAGGATACTCTCTGGTATCCACTTTGCGGCTATTAAATTCTGATTTGTCTATAAAACTATGGGGTTAGCATGGCACCATATGCTCAAATTATCTCAAGGTGTAGGTGGCTACTTTATTTTACTCACTACTTCTAGTAAACAAAACAACAAACATGAACCACCCAACTATTTTATTAACAGATTGGTTCTATAACATCTACTGGAATTTCTTTCTTAGCTGCTTACATCATGTTAAATCATTCTTTATATAACTCGCAACAGACGGAACAGATTAGTTTCATACCTAAAACTGAAATAACAATTATGTTGGTGTTACCTTGATTCATCATCATCAATTTCCACTTCTGCCGTTAAGCATTTGGGAAGGAATAGTTTGCAATCCAAACAAATACAATTAAAATAAATACAGCACTGGCTACTGTAAAAGCTGTTTAATGTCATCAATCCATTTCTCCTAAGGAGACCTCTTGCTTTCACTTCAGATCTTTTCATGTGTAGCGCCTGCATTGGTAGTTGTTCTGGCTGCATTCTTACTAGATGCTCAAACCATTTGATCTTCTGTTTCTCAATGAATTTGCTGCATGGTGTTGTTCCTATAGTCTGTCTGATAATATCATTTCTAACTTTGTCTCCGATGGTTTAGTTGGCGGCTTTTCTCTGGCATCTCATTTCGCAGGTGTTAATTTTACGTAGGTTAGCCTTTGATAATGTCCAAGTCTGGCACTGGTAGCGCAGTGCTGGGTTGAATATATTGTTTATAATCTGTTTCTTGGCGCTCATACTTATGTTTGGATGTCTTAAAAAGGGTGTTAGTTGTTATACAAGTCTGGTAGTCTTAGTTTCAGCTTCATAGCAAACGGGTCACCCCATCTTTGCTCCGCTCCTGTGCCAACGAAAAACACACAGAATGTTTATCACAGTATTAGAATTGCAGTTCATCATTGATGGCAGCAGAAGTCGCCAACAGATCAGCAATTGCCCACGCGATCAATTTTAATCACATACGGGCACCACAACACTGCACGACAGGCATCGCGCCATTTTCTGAATCTACAATTCACACCAACACGTTGGTCACAGTCGAAAAAACATTCCAAACGCAATCCGCAGCTTACAGGGTCACGCCATGCATTCAACTCAGAAGCTGGGCGACGAAACTATATCCAGTCTACAAATGGAGCAAAAATGCATCGGCCACCATCCGGCAGAAGCAAAAAATGTGCCTCTGTTTCGAACAGTGCCGCTTCCTAACGTCCATTTTGACCAAAATGTTATACAAGTGCACAGGCTCGTTGGCATCTTGTTTTTATATTCCAATCTATTCTCCCTTCCTCCAAAAATATAATTATATACCGATTAGCCTTTGAAATATTCACTTTATTATCATGATAAGCAATATACTTTTGTCGGTGTGAACGAAGATATAGGACGTTGTGTCTAGACACTTGCCTGCAGGCCTGAAGATTCTGAACTTGAATTCATAATTTGGTGTCTTGTTTTTTGGGGGTGTTTTTTAACCGAATTTACTTTGTATAGACAAATCGACACTCAATATGTGATGTGGTTAACATCACACAGGCTCCCTTCTGATTTGTCTTTGGAACTATGGGGTTAGCATGGCACCATATGCTCAAATTATCTCAAAGTGTAGGTCTGGCTATTTTATTTTACTCACTACTTCTAGTAAACAAAACAATAAACATGAACCACCCAACAATTTTATTAACAGATTGGTTCTTTTACATTTATTGGGATTTTATCATTATCTTTCTAAGCCTGGTTAACCCTGCTTAAAATGGGTAGCAGGGAATGTCCTTAGAAATAAAGGTCGCCGGTGCGAGCCAACCAGGTCATCCACTGGTGCCAACTGTTTATGAAAATTGTGATTAGCACCATATGCACGATACATCACTTGTCTAAAAAGCTTCCTTTACTTACTTTTAAAACCAAAACATATCCAACACATTTGCTGTTAAAAACTACATGAAAATTACAAGAAAGACAACCTTACACAGGAAGGTCCTAAGGTCTCTTAAGAGTGAATCATGTTTATACATTTTAGATAAATTTAAAGATCAACTTATACAACGCATTAGAAAGAGCACACAGACAATCCTTACATATCCCCTTAACACTCCGGTGAGGTGACTGGAGGAGGAGGATGAGAAGGAGGGAAGAGAAGTTGAATTTATTACAGGCAGTCATTTGCACCCCAAAAAAAGCACAAGAGCACTTTCTTCTTCGAGGCTACACTCTGTAAGTACAGTCGCCATTTTGTTTCTGTGTTGTGAATGTGCATACAACACCTAACTATACCTAACGAATAGAGGCATAAAGTTTGATGTTTAATGACACCTTTAGAAACCACTAACTACATTTTCCTTCCATTCTATAACCACTTGTGACTTACTTATTGACTTCCCCTTGTAGTTTGGGAATTACTGACACTGTCTGTGTGTTTGTTGGGGGTGGGGGGGAGAATAGAAAAAGGGGGAATGAACATATAATATGAAAATGGTCTGTAGATAAAAGGAGGAAAATTGAGGATAAAGGGATTTAGTTATCTGAGTAACTGATAAAGTATCTGAAATAATACTGACTTGATTCACACAAAAATAACCAAAATATTATAATATAGGTACGGATTAAATATAATATGATACAACAACAAATAACTGTATGACATAGAATTAGAAATAAAATGATTCAATGGAACTGGTAAATTTCTAAGACTAACAATACCTGTGTAGCACTCCGATGCTAGCCTGCGGATCAGAAGGTTAAGGGTTCGGGTACTGACGGTATCTGACTTTTTTCAAAAAATTACCTTGGCTTCCAGGCTTACCCCGCATAGAATAGGTGGAATCCTAGGAAGTAAAGGTGGTCGGCAAAGCCACGTGCGGATTGACCAATAAAATACAGGTCTAGTCCTATATGCTCAATACACACTTTACTTTTTCACATTAAGACAACTACAGTACATCTAATCACAATACAACTAAATGCAACGAACTGACAGAATCCTGCTGAAGAAAGACTGGCTCCGAAGAAAAGCTAAAGATACCAGCATAAAACAAAACAACATCTTTTTCACTTACCTAGGTCAGACTGGGTTTCTGTGACTACTCCTTTATCTCTCAGGAAATCTTTTTCTTCCTTGTCACATGTTCTTCTTAACAAATCTACGGAGGCACAAAAAAGTGCTTGTAACGACAGGATAATAAGTGCATCATTGATTGCAACATGCAAATACAGCAAGATAATAATTATAAATTTATGACTCTATAGAATTTAAAGATATTCCAATGGTGTAAGATTCTCTTTAACTGTTAAAGTTTACTGGTCAGTTCATTCCAAGATTACTGAGAACGGAAACACCCAAAAATATTATCGCAACATGAAAAAAAAAAAAAACAACACATTGAAACTTAGAATTATCTAATGGCGTTAATACTCCAACCTGTGATATGACACAGAAACCTGGGCATTCAACCAGCAATTTTAAAGCTGAAATGTTATGGTGATGTGGACAAACACACAAGAAAAATAATATGTTGTATTTCATAGAAACAAAAAAAACAACAACAATAATAATTACAAAGGTTTTGGAAGGACTGGAAAAATCAAGAGGATTGTTGGAAAAAAAAATAAAAAAGAGTACATCCTATATTCTGGCCAACAGTTTTTTTTTTTGTTTTTGTTTTTTCATAAAAACATAAAACTAACATAAAAACCAAACTGGAGAGAAAATAGATCCACCAATACAAATGAGCTGAGAACAGCAGTCTGTATGTAAAATGCTGAATAAGGAATCGACATCACAGCACTTGGGACACTCCCAAAGTGCTCAGTCCCCATCTTCAGCAACAAGCGAAGACTTCCAATTACAACGGTACCAGTAATCATCTGATTGTATATCCATCTCATCCTTCCCTTGAGTGTTGAGCGTCGGCCAGATCCTCTGGTAACTCCTTGCAGTGCCATTCTCATTAGACCGTAATGATCTATCTGCCCCTCCGCAAAGTTCCCTCGCTCTCAAAGGGCCCTCACAACATCTAGCTTGTCATACATCAATTCACCACCAAGTGGTGCAGAGCCAGCCAGTCTATCTGCCTGCTCATTTCAGAACAGCAGTATAAGAGAGAGTGTAACAAAAGTGAGACAAGAGTGTTAGAGATCTACAGTAGTTAACACTGGCTGTGGGGACAGCACTGACTGCTGATGAACACTAGCTGTGGGGACAGCACTGACTGCTGATGAACACTAGCTGTGGGGACAGCACTGACTGTTGATAAACACTGGCTGTGGGGACAGCACTGACTGCTGATGAACACTGGCTGTGGGGACAGCACTGACTGCTGATGAACACTGGCTGTGGGGACAGCACTGACTGCTGATGAACACTGGCTGTGGGGATAGCACTGACTGCTGATGAACACTAGCTGTGGGGACAGCACTGACTGCTGATGAACACTGGCTGTGGGGACAGCACTGACTGCTGATGAACACTGGTTGTGGGGACAGCACTGACTGCTGATGAACACTGGCTGTGGGGACAGCACTTACTGCTGATGAACACTGGCTGTGGGGATAGCACTGACTGCTGATGAACACTGGCTGTGGGGACAGCACTTACTGCTGATGAACACTGGCTGTGGGGATAGCACTGACTGCTGATGAACACTAGCTGTGGGGACAGCACTGACTGCTGATAAACACTGGTTGTGGGGACAGAACTGACTGCTGATGAACACTGGTTGTGGGGACAGCACTGACTGCCGATGAACACTGGCTGTGGAGACAGCACTGACTGCTGATGAACACTGGCTGTGGAGACAGCACTGACTGCTGATGAACACTGGCTGTGGGGACAGCACTGACTGCTGATTAACACTGGCTGTGGGGACAGCACTGACTGCTAATGAACACTGGATGTGGGGACAGCACTTACTGCTAATGAACACTGGATGTGGGGACAGCACTGACTGCTGATGAACACTGGCTGTGGGGACAGCACTGACTGCTGATGAACACTGGCTACTGTCATCCTGACATTCTATGAGACAACTGTCTACCTTCAAAAGTTGTGCACACTGGTAGAGTTGATAATTTGTTAGTGTAATGTTATTTATTCCCCTTTCAATATTGTTAACATTTTTCTTAACAAATGACATGACAATATTATAAACAGATGAAAACTGATAAAAAAATAACGAACCCCCCAAAAAATATTTATTATTTATTATGCAAGACCAAAATCCAGAAGCCGACAAACAACCAGAAATTTCCCCCAGAGTTTACAGCTGGTGAAGAGGATGAAGAAGATTAAATTAACCACTTCCTATAAGATAACATAAGAGATTGCAATTTTTAAAAAATTAACAAATAAACAGATTTTCAACTAATGCGGCATAAGGCATTTTTCAAAGTCAACAATTTAACTGGTAAATTCATTTTAATGCTACGCTTTGTAATTATGCACCCTGTGACCAGTGCAGGATCTGTTTAGTCAGAAGCTTGCCTGTTAATCCCTTACTTATCTTTTCCTCTCTTCTTGATTTGCTGATATTTGTTTAGTTCTCTCCCTAAATTCCATAACAGTGATTCTGTCTTACAAGTAATACAGGGCAGGGCTATTCAATTAAGTTTACTCTGGTTAAAATGTTTAAAATGAGGATCGTCATGCGTCAGAGGCCTAAACCCCTACATAGAAAAAATCATCAATACACTACAACTGGCAAATGATCCACGGGCCACTTGAAAGGCCTCCGTGGACAAAATCTTGTCCGCGAGCCGCCAGTTGAATAGTTCTGACTTAATGTATTCTCTTCTATGAATGCTAGTATTTCTTAAGCCAATGTTTTAGTCATTTTGTGGCAGGCCTATTTAGATGTTCATCAAATATTTCCATCCTTGTGCATTGTATGGGAGACAGTTAGTGCACTTAGAAAGATATCTACATTTAATGGTCCTTTACAAACTTGTAAATCAAATCTCACAACTCCTTCAGTTCCAAGCAGATGTGGTGAAGGTTCTATGGGATCAGATGGATATTGCAAGGTTTCCATAAGGTTTAAACAATGGATCAACATCATGACACAAGGGTTGTAACCCATAAGTGCTCTGTTACACTTCTGATTCAAGTCTGAGTCCGAAGAATCCCAGCACAATATACGAACTCTGTAGCACTGGCAAGGGTCCTGAAATACTTAAGGTAGATTTTTAACTCCAAATTTTGCCCAGGCAGCACTGTTGGGCTACCCTTTTCGATTTCCAACTGCTAAGGGATTTTTTACGTGCACAACAATACACATGGGCATCAGATCTTTTTACCCCAAGACAAGGGAAAATTACCAAATATCTTGAGAGAAATCTGGCTACCAAATATCTTTAGAGAAAACTGGATACCAAATATTTTAAGAGAAATCCTGCATCCGAATATCTTTAGGAAAATATGGCTGCCAAATATCTTTACAGAAATCCAGCTATCAAATATCTTTAGAGAAATCTAGCAAACCAAGTATCTTTAGAAAAGTTCAGCTACAAAATATCCTTAGAGAAATCCAGCTACCAAATATCTGAAGAGAAATCCAACTACCAAGAGAAATCTGATTATCAAATATCTTTAGAGAAATCCTGCATCTAATTATCTTTAGAGAAATCTGGCTACCAAATATTTTTAGAGAAATCCGTCTAATAAATATCTTTAGAGAAACCCGACTACAAAATATTTTTAGAGACAGAGTTGGTGGCTTTTCTGAGGCATCTCATTTCGCATGTGTTAATTTTACGTAGGTTAGCCTTTGATAATGTCCAAGTCTGGCACTAGTAGCGCAGTGCTGGTTTGAATATATTGTTTATAATATGTTTCTTGGCACTCATTCTTATGTTTGGATGTCTTAATAAGGGTGTTAGTTGTTATATAAGTGTATTGGCTCGTTGGCATCTTGTTTCTATATCCCGATCTATTCTCCCTTCCTCGAGACATCCAGCTACCAAATGCCTTAAGAGAAATCTGGCTCCAAATATCTTTAGAGAAATCTGGCTCCAAATATATTTGGAGAAATCCAGCTACCAAATAACTTTAGAGATATCCCGCTACCAAACATCTTTAGAGAAATCTGGCTACCAAATATCTTTAGAGATATCCTGCTACCAAATATCTTTAGAGAAATCTGGCTACCAAACATCTTTAGAGAAATCTGGCTACCAAATATCTTTAGAGACATCCAGCTACCAAATATCTTTAGAGACATCCAGCTACCAAATATCTTTAGAGATATCCTGCTACCAAATATCTTTATAGAAATCTGGCTACCAAACATCTTTAGAGAAATTTGGCTACCAAATATCTTTAGAGACATCCGGCTACCAAATATCTTTAGAGAAATCTGGCTACCAAACATCTTTAGAGAAATTTGGCTACCAAATATCTTTAGAGACATCCGGCTAGCAAATATTCTTAGAGACATCCGGCTACCAAATATCTGTAGAGAATTCCTGCTAACAAATATTTTCAAGAGAAATCTGGCTACCAAATATCTTCTCCCATTCTTTGCATATTAATTAATGCACCACTTGTGGCATGTATTTTATGACTAATTGAAACAATTAAGATTATGCATGAAATCTAAGACTAGTAGGGTTAAAAACAGATTGCAAATAAATATTTCCAAACCTGGGTATTTCCTCTTGAATGACTTGATCTTCAGGTACTCACTGACCTGTTCCTGCAGCAGGTACCATTCTCCTCCATCTTGTGGCCACTGGTACTCGAAGAGATTTTCGGCCGTGAAAACTCTCCTTCACACACACACAAAAAGAAACATTAGTCTTTGAAAGTCACAGACTCATGATTTGTCATACATATATCACTTCAAGAAGGTTTTGAGTATAATCAGATACTAAATGTGTTTAAATCACCATAACCATAATTTTTGGTGTCATAAGCCACTATACGCTGAGTGAGATACTGAAGAGGGGATCTGAGCATTTATGGACTGAATGGTTCAATGTGCGATGATGATAATCTGTCAACTAACTAAACAATTTTTTTTTTAGCTTTACACATGAATAAATCTAGAAAGGCAATGAAATCAAATAAATTTATGCTTAACAGTTAAAACATAAAAAGACAGCTAAATATTGGGGCACATTCCGAAATGGAACTGACACAAAATCATAAAACAGTCACTGAAATTGGAAACAAATGGATTGGGGAAGCAAGAACTTCTAAAGGAAACCTTATGACAAATGTTGAAGAGATAAGCCAGAGATGCCAAACTGTATTCCCTACTTGATTTTAAAAGGACGGCATAGGATAGAATGGAATGGAGGAAACAATTGCGAGCCCAGTGTGAAGCATAATGGCAAAAAATAAAAAATAATAGAGTAAATTTCGTAATGCCGGGGTACTGGGTTCAATCCCTGCTGCGGACTATTTGTCTTGCGCTGGTTTCGACATTAGTACCAAGAGCTGACCATTCAGAAAGCCATGGCAAACTACTAAACGTAAAATTTGCCTACAAAAACCACAACAGCCAATAAATGCTAGGGTTGGTTCTGCAATGTCCTGTAAAGGATACGCAACTAACTAACTAACAGAGTAATCAATAAAAGTAAGGGTATTTTACAAAGTACTGAAAGAATATTTTGTTAAAATTAATAGATTTCAACAGCTTTAGAAAGGTAGATAACAGAGAGACCACCCCTTTTGTTTACAAAAGAGCTGAATGAGAGTAGACCACAAGGCAGACAAAGATCTCTACAAACACAAAAATAAATATAGGCGAGTGATATCTACAGCGATGAACCTCAATGGCTAATAATGCTGAAAAATGGAGAATTAAATTTGGCTCTTGAATCTCTCATTACAATATGTCTTTAGAACTTCCTATTGATAACTGAATTAATAACACACTGAATACAGCTAAGCAGACTAGGATAATTATGAGGCTAACAAATGAAGAAGACCTACTCTCCGGCTTCAAGCCCCTCCATCAGACTGATACCAAGACCATCTCTACTTGCTCTCCGTTGCTTTCGTGAAGGTGTAGGTGTTTCCAAGTTAGAATCAGATGCAGCAGAATCCTTGGTGGCATCATCGATGCTGATGGTATTCCTGAGACGAATATCTTCTGAATCACAGGCTGCAGACATTTTTGTTTCTGTGTCTGTGTCTTCTCATATGAGATGCTTTTAAATCCTCATTCAACAGCTCAGAATCCATTTTTCCGAAATTTTCATCTTCATATGAAGTAAGAAATTCACTTTTTACAGCCTCTGCATCATTTTTGCTTATTCCTTCTACAGAAGTCTTGTTCTCTGGTATTTCTGACATCGAATTTTCATCCTGCGCAAGTGGATCTACTGTTTGCAATTGCTGAGACACACTTGATACATTTTCACTGGCATCTTCACAAAAATGTTCTCGCTTATCTACAGTCTGGGCTGAAAATATTTTACTGCCTTCTTCTGAGGTCTTCTTGTCCTGGTCATCATCTGACCTGCTGCTTGCACCATCCTGGGAAGTCATGTCTGCCTGTCCACTTTCTCCTACTTCACTGTTTGCCTGCTCCATGATACCCTCATCCTTGTGACCATCTGCATGACCTACAATATGAAATGCTGACCCAGCTGAAGGGGCACCATCTTCAACAGCATGATGATGGAATTCAGATGCTATGGACATGTCCTGTTTGTCTGAATCCACATTTTCATCAATTGCTATGGCTTCTTCAGCAGATATATTTTGCTTCTCCTGAAAGCAAAAACACAAAAAAAAAAGAATAAATGAAAATCATTACAAGAAATCACAAAGTAATTAATCTAAGCATCATCAACAAGTGCTTTGCCAACAAGCATAGGCTGTCATGCTTCAGGACATTTTGTAATCTCCAGCATGCATGTTTCAGTTCACTTGCTGACACCTTTCCATTACAAAAGGCTGTCAAGAATCTTCTCTCTGGTTTTCCTATATTTCTCTTTCAAAGAATTTTATGGTCTGTTCCTTTCCACATCAAGGTTCTTCTTCTTTTTCTTCAGCATTCTGAGCCCTTGAGGTTCATTTCTGCAGATATCACCCGCCTCCATTCATCTCTCTGGTTGGCTTTCTCTTTTCAGTTGGTGACACCAAGTGTTTGCAGGTCTGTCTGGACATTATCTCTCCATCATTTTCTTGGTCTGCCTTGTGGTCTCTGACCATTCATCTCCGTTGTGTAAACAGTTTTCACTTTTCTGTCATCAAGGTTAGTTATTTTTTTAACAACAATTTAAAGAAAATTACCCATTTTTAGGCTTGGTCAAATCATTGCCAAACTGGTCAAAAATTATTCTGATAATTCTGAGGGACTGTCTTGGCAAGCAAGTGCAAAAAAGCCATGTGCCAGCATGGCTCATTATCGTATCTAGTGGAAACATGAACCCTGATTACGGAGCCCCTGTGCCAGCATAGCTCATTATCATATCTAGTGGAAACATGAACCCTGATTACTGAGCCCCTGTGCCTGCATTGCTCATTATCGTATCTAGTGGAAACATGAACCCTGGTTACTGAGCCCCTGTGCTAGCATGGCTCATTATCGTATCTAGTGGAAACATGAACCCTGATTACTCAGCCCCTGTGCCTGCATTGCTCATTATCGTATCTAGTGGAAACATGAACCCTGGTTACGGAGCCCCTGTGCCTGCATGGCTCATTATGGTATCTAGTGGAAACATGAACCCTGATTACGGAGCCCCTGTGCCAACATAGCTCATTATCATATCTAGTGGAAACATGAACCCTGATTACTGAGCCCCTGTGCCTGCATTGCTCATTATCGTATCTAGTGGAAACATGAACCCTGGTTACTGAGCCCCTGTGCTAGCATGGCTCATTATCGTATCTAGTGGAAACATGAACCCTGATTACTCAGCCCCTGTGCCTGCATTGCTCATTATCGTATCTAGTGGAAACATGAACCCTGGTTACGGAGCCCCTGTGCCTGCATGGCTCATTATGGTATCTAGTGGAAACATGAACCCTGATTACGGAGCCCCTGTGCCTGCATGGCTCATTATCGTATCTAGTGGAAACATGAACCCTGATTACTGAGCCCCTGTGCCTGCATTGCTCATTATCGTATCTAGTGGAAACATGAACCCTGGTTACTGAGCCCCTGTGCTAGCATGGCTCATTATCGTATCTAGTGGAAACATGAACCCTGATTACTCAGCCCCTGTGCCTGCATTGCTCATTATCGTATCTAGTGGAAACATGAACCCTGGTTACTGAGCCCCTGTGCTAGCATGGCTCATTATCGTATCTAGTGGAAACATGAACCCTGATTACTCAGCCCCTGTGCCTGCATTGCTCATTATCGTATCTAGTGGAAACATGAACCCTGGTTACTGAGCCCCTGTGCTAGCATGGCTCATTATCGTATCTAGTGGAAACATGAATCCTGATTGCTGAGCCAGAGAATTAAACTGAAGATTCTGAAATGAAGATTTTCAGAAGATAAGGATGTTTCTTGTTTGGAAAAGAATACAAATAATAAAGTCCTAGAATTGTTATCATTAGGTGCCATGCTGATAAGCAATCTCACACAGTAACCATTGTCTTGCATTAAGTCTAGGTTATTGTTCTAATTAGGCTTAAGACCAAGATATTCAAATAGGTACTTATTTGGCCTTTGCTTTCTTCCTAATAGATGTACCAAGTATCAAACATATTTCAATATACAGTCCTTCATAATATACCCTCAAAATCGTCAATAGTTAACTTCTAATTTCTTAATTTCTCTGATATATTTATGCTTTTAATTTGTTTATGTAACCCTTTTGGAACCAACTAGCACAGTTAAATGTTCCTATTTTAATTTTAGCACTTGACAGTGTAAAAACAAGAATCTGCAACTTTATGCAACCTTTCTTTAATTCTTTTTGTTGAATTAACGATTAAGTGCAAACATTTATCCATGGTGTGTTCAAAAGCTAAAACTACAGTACATTTATGAGTTTTCCTGAGTTACTAAATATTTTTTTTAATCAAAATATGGCAACCAAATAATCCTCTTCATGTCCAACAAAGCGATTTACAACTTATAAGTCTCAAACTGAAATAAAGTAATTTAAAAAATGAAGAAAATAACATTGTAGACTTTTCTTAACCCTTTTGCAGAGTTGACAATTCTAGAGGGGTTTACCTATAATTATCTCCTGTAAATCATGCAAAGATAACAGTCAGCTGGCACAGAGAAGAGAAAAAATATTTTCTCTGGCTCTAGTGATTTCTTAGATATTGTTTAAGAACACTTTTGCAAATACACAAGCACTCTGATGTTTATACTAATATTTGAAGCAAAAATTGTGTTTTCAAAGGTTTTTTTTTTAAAGCTAGTGACTGTCCTTGGTAAAACTCTTCTGACAGTTTCTCTGGAACAAAAAGCTATGTGATATTGTTCTGACAGTTTCTCTGGAACAAAAAGCTATGTGATATTGTTCTGACAGTTTCTCTGGAACAAAAAGCTATGTGATATTGTTCTGACAGTTTCTCTGCAACAAAAAGCTATGTGATATTGTTCTGACAGTTTCTCTATAACAAAAAGCTATGTGATATTGTTCTGACAGTTTCTCTGCAACAAAAAGCTATGTGATATTGTTCTGACAGTTTCTCTGGAATAAAAAGCTATGTGATATTGTTCTGACAGTTTCTCTAGAACAAAAAGCTATGTGATATTGTTCTGACAGTTTCTCTGGAATAAAAAGCTATGTGATATTGTTCTGACAGTTTCTCTGGAACAAAAAGCTATGTGACATTGTTCTGACAGTTTCTCTGGAACAAAAAGTTATGTGATATTGTTCTGACAGTTTACTGGGAACAAAATGCTTTGTAATATTGTTTTGACAGTTTCTTTGGAACAAAAAGCTATGCGATATTCTTGTGATAGTTTCTCTAGAACAATCATGTAGAGTGTCTTTAAACTGTATTTTCACTGAGCACCATGAATATACCATGAAGAGATGGGTAGGTGGATAGGGCAGGGGGTAGTAATTCTGTAATCTTATCAGTTTTTTGTTTACTGGGCTATCCTCCGAGTAACAGTCCCAAATTATCGAGGCCGAAAATATACCCTAACAGGGTCTCAGTCACATATCAATTGCGGACTTCTGGCGACTTTAATTGTGCACTTCTGGCGACTTCCGCCACTGCCAAGAGTATCTCCCACTCAGGAGCAGCAGCTACCACATCTCCTGCAGCGTTCTTCATTTTAGAGTCCCAGCCATCTAGTTTAGCCCCAGTTCCACGCAGCTACATGCAGCATGGGAGACACTCTCAGCTGTGGCGGTATAGTCCGCGGATGTTCGCAATTTGGCGGTGGCGGTATAGTCCCTGAAAGTCCGCAACTGACATGTGACTGAGGCCCTGTTACGTATATTTTCGACCTCGATAATTCAGGACCGTTATTCGGAGGATAGCCGTTTACTGATACTGGGGGAGAGGGGAGGTTTATGTTAGTTTGTGCTGTAATCCAAGCAGTTACTTGTTTACTAATACAATGGGGATATCTAAGTAACTTCTGAAATCCTAGAAATTATTTGTTTACTAATACTAGGGAGATAATTTACTAAGTTCTGTAATCCTAGCAGTTATTTGTCTACTGTTTTGCTACTAACCCAATCATCTGTTGTAATGAGTATCAGTATCCCCTAAAACTTTCCTGTTTACTTTATTATGTAATGTATGTTGTAGTTGTACTGTTTAGGCTCTCCTTCGAACTTCGTCCCCATATTAAGGCGGCCAAACAAATACCCTAACAGGGCCTCAGTCATATGCAAATTGCAGAGTGCCTGCAAAACTAGTATTGCCTCTGAATAACGGGCCAATATTATCGAGGGCAAACGAGTAGTCTAACAAGGTCTCTGTGACAAAATGACCTCAGTGGTCTCAGAAGTTATATTGTGTTTAATAATTTCTTATTTTCAGAGAAGGACAAAGAATTATACTCAATATGCACTGAGCCTAAATATTACTAAAAACCACTACAAGGGATTTGAAAATTTTTTAAACTTTGTTTCCCTGTCTCTCGCCAGACAAAACAACCCCGCTTTGTGTAATATTACCTAATACTATCTTAGATAGAGATTTATTTCACCAGCCAGTGTCATATAATTAT